GAAATTTGGTTACAAAAAACTGATCCGAGAATAGTGCAAGTCTATCGGGCGGAATTACGAATGACTTATGCATTACACATGTGTAATGCATAAGTCATTCGTAATTCCGCCCGATCACTATCACACTATCACATACTGTACAGTTCGCCCATACTATCACATACTGTACAGATACAGTATGTGATAGTATGCAAACTTTTAATTGTTGTCTTGCCACGCCCCCTTGACGATGGCAGATAAAATAATTTTTAAGCATACTACAATAGCACACTACCATTTTATAAACATGAGAATTTTTTTAATCTGGAGGGGTAAAATGTTCCCTGGTAAGTTGAAGCTAAGGTAAACTGGAGCACCGTCCAGCCTTTAATGGTCCAGATGCAACAACAACAACATTAGCCGACTTCCCCTTACTTACTAAATAGTGTTCTGAAGAATACAGCTTGGTGATGTCCGTCTTCCAAAGAATTTAAAGGTACCGGATGGAAAATCATTAAAGCGGCTTGTAAGATGGAAAGCAAGTACAGGTATTTTACATCGAGATGCATATGGATCTTTGCACCCGGCATCCCGACATCCGTCAGGGCCGTAAGTTAGAGTGTTAGTCAACATATTTCCGTAAAGCTAACCTCAGAGCTTCTTGTCCCTGTTTCGGGTATCAGACCAAAATTTATTATGAGGTACGATATTGTCTGGCTCTTGCGAACGATTTCGGAGGGTTGCGGCAGTTTCTACAGCGTGGCCGTCTACGGGGATGTGCAATGTCAAAACATATTTTGTGCTTTGCAGTGCGTTGTGTCACGACTTACGAGTATAATTGATCGGAACTGGCCTTTATTTATCGCAACTGACGAGCCAACAAACAACAAAAATAATACATGGTATACAACGTTCATGGCATTGTCATCGACCGTTGCTCCGCATGAAAACCAGTCGTACGTATGTTCCTCGTTCGTTATACGTTGCATAGTGAAAAGGCTGAGAAAAATACTATACAGCTCTAAATATTCTATTAACCCGGCAACGTCTGCTAGGTGAATAAACTACCAGTAAAAGTTCGCCAGTTTTTCGAGCGCCAGGCCTGTCGTTATTGGCCAAATAACATACATATGTATATGTAGGTATTAGATAAAGCAAAGATAACTCTTTGCACAGTGGATTTTTATTTTTTGATCAAAAACACCATAAAATATCTATACTGTTAAAAAAACACTGAAAAATAACGTAGAGTTCTACGAGTGTGTCTACGTAGATCGGATGTTATGGTAAAACTTTGGGATTAAATTACTGGTAACTTCATGTGAGTTCTCACAATTACAGTATCCTACAAAATTCTGAACCTCTTCTGTAAAAAAACTGAATTTTGAAAATCAGCTGGTGGAAATTCCACTGCTTGGGTACTGGCGTAGGACAGTACCATGCTGCCGGAACAGGTACAGTGATCGGAGCCGCACACTTATAACATAATTTAGCCGTCGCACGCTAGGTCACCTGTGGCACGTTTCGTACCAAAGAAAAAAAGTAAATCGTTTTTTCTCTCCTTGTAGTCACAGTAGACACCTGTATACAGGCTGTAGACACCCTGTAGACGTATCGGTAGTCACCTGGTTTCTTAGGATGTGTGAGCGGAGAAGCGGCTCACGTACAGCGATAAAGTCTTTCAAAGGATTTCAACGTATTGCGCCGTGGTGCAGTGGTACTGCCTACGCGGATCTAACGACGTAGCCGGGGTTCGATTCCCCCATCGGCGCCTTTTTCAGCCGTTTCTCGGTTTCCCTCGGATTGCGCCCTGCTGATAGATGTATACACAGTGTCTACAACGGTGTCTACAGCTTGTCTACGGATGTCTACCGCTGTATACAGGCAGCCCCTCAAGTTCAGCTCGATACTCTGCCTGTATACACCGGTAGTCACCTGTAGACAGCCCGTAGACACCACTGTAGACATACTGTAGTCACCTGGTTTCTTAGGTATTCTTAGGATGTATACAGGTTGTCTACAGATGTCTACCGCTGTATACAGGTAGCCCTTCTTAGGTTCAGCTCGATACTCTGCCTTTATGCACCGGTAGTCACCTGTAGACAGCCCGTAGACACCACTGTAGACATACTGTAGTCACCTGGTTTCTTAGGTTTCTTAGGTTTTCTTACGATGTATACAGGTTGTCTACAGGGTGACTACAGGATGTCTACAGGTGACTACCGGTGTATACAGGCAGAGTATTGAGCTGAACCTAAGAAGGGCTGCCTGTATACAGCGGTAGACATCCTTAGACAGCCCGTAGACACCACTGTAGACATACTGTAGTCACCGGGTTCCATAGGTTTTCTTAGGATGTATACAGGTTGTCTACAGGGTGTCTACAGGTTGTCTACAGATGACTACAGTGACTACAAGAAGGAAAAAAACGTTCGAGTTTTTTTCTTTGGTACGAAACGTTCCATATATAGCTAGGTGCAGCCAATCCACATCACTGACAGTTAATGATCAAAACATTTAGCACATGAGGACATCTGAGTGCTTCTGTAATAGCTACAGTAAAAATAAAGCACTTTTTTATCGTACTGCAATGCTTTATTTGGTCGTAATAAGAGCATGAACGATAAAATGACGTTGTGATCGAAGCAGCCAGTCATGAATATGGCTGACCGTGATCTGTTTTGTGCACATGTAAGTCGGCTCATCATGACCTGTTATATACTGACCGGAAATCACCGGAAACCCTGACCGGAAATCTGAACTATATACCGATCGGAAATCTTAAATTTTTTCGAATATAAATGAACAGTGACTTTTTTCATGATAAATTAATTCGCATAAACTAACTACCTATTGTAAATATCCGCAGCTATTAAAGTCTGGTTGATTCGAACAGATCAAAGCCACGACGGTGTGTACAAGCTTGTCCGGTAATTTCTGACGAATCAATACAGCGAATTACATAAATTTGCGTGTTACGCCAATCTTCACACTACGGCGCTCCACGCCACACTGTTTAAACACGTAACTTGCATTTGGCTGGCAGGTGGCTTGGTACATCCCATTTAATGTTATGAGAAGACGGTAACTGCCTGGCGGAAGGTGGCTAGAAAATGGTCGGTGCAGTAAGCGACAATCTGACTGCGGAGCGCATTTAGGAAATTTGATAAACGTAGTGAAGTGGCCACCGTTATAAGCGCAAACTTCGCGCTAGCTGTACCTTTACGTAGGAAATTACCGGACAAGCTTGTACAGAGTACAACGGAATTTGTGTGGCGTCGCACCGCCAACCGCCTTGCCCACACTGTACGTATTGTATATTGTTAATACCCAAGCGGTGGAATTGCCACGGCCCTTTAAATTTTGAACTACTGCAGCAAAATTTTCAAAACAAAACAGTTTAAGTTTATTATATTATCGTTATTCTATGGGATAAATTTCGACTATGACAAAAAATCCCTTGATACCCGAACATTGCCAGGTTAAACCAGCTCCCAGGCATTGCAAAGAATTTTAGCTAAGCAGACAGACAAAAGCGGCGGGTCAGTTACTTAAACATGTCCAGTCTGCTTTAATACTGCCTCAGACTCTGAAAAGCACAACATGGATGTTATGATCCGTGCTTTGTAAATAAACGCTTATATAAAGGCATCACCATACAGCAGCACTGATTTCCGGGCAGAAACCATTCGGACGCATAGGGATTCTGCTGCTACTACTACAGTAGTACTAGTTTGTTTTGTTGCAATGCGGTCACAGCAAGATATTAATGTTGATATCTGTGTTACTGTGTCTCAAATTAGACAGACAACAAATGACATCATAAAAAGTATTAACTTTACAAAGTGTAGTTAAACATTAAGCTTGCTGTTAGTTACTGAAAATATTATTTTTAAAACAGCTCTATATAGTATATATTCAGGATATGTTTCGAGATAATAATGCTGCGGAAATAGTGTTCTTTAACCAGAATCGTTAGTATTTTCACTAACAGATGAAACAATAAAATGCAAAGTTTTTTACACGCTATTACAACTACTCTGTAGTCTGTACGAAGATGAATCCGAAGATGGCGCAACTTTGGCTTAAAGTGGTTTTATAAGTACAAGCAATTTGATGCACAGAAAATATGCTCTCTCCATAACGCGCAATTATTTCAGTGAAATAATAATGATAACTCCATAACTGCGGCGTAGCGTTAACACTCAAATTTAACAAAAAACCGAAGTATTTCATTTGTTTACTTACATGCTTCCGCATCAATCGCAGTCCGGTGTTTGTGACATTAAACTACCATAGAGTATTTTAATACATAAACGAGATTAGTAAAGCAAATACACACCCTAAACCCGTAGCTTCCTTTCTTGCTCGCATTGTAACTTAACCGCTCGATCAGAAAATCCTTTCTCTTGCAGCATCGTATCGAAACTTTGATACTTAATGCATTACATGATGCGAATCAAATTGAAAACTAATAAATTGATAATTGATAAATTGATAACTGGTAAATAATAAATTAATAAATTGATAATTGATAAATCATAATAATAACTGTAGTTTTCAAAATATACAGTTTCGTTATTGGCAGTACTGCACATGTACAATTCAAATTGCGAAGCATAACTACCGTAGAGGGAATAAACATACGCCGCTTTGCTTTGTTTATTCCCTGTATGGTTCTACCTATCCTGTGGCTACTGCGTAGGAATTTGCAGCTGCCATTCGAAATGCCGTGGCGCTGCTGTCGCTTTTGCCGTGATTAATCTGGTCACGCCATTCTCCCGTAGCATTGAGATAGACCAAGGAAGCTGGAAGCCAACCTTATGGCTGAGTGGCGGAATGCGGAGTCTACTTGGGTTATTCCGCCGTAGAACAAGAGTATGGTTACTTGCCCGGTCTATGCCATCGGATCAAATATTCAAAAAACCCGAATGTTAAGTTTTTTAATTTCCCAATCCGACCCATATCCAACCATCGGAATCTAAATTCGCAGTGATTTAAATCCGATTTACTTGCGAAGCGGTCGATTTTAGATAGGTGACACTGAAAGTTTCGTTCTCATTTCCGCAATTGTTCAAAACACCTGATAACAGGGAACGCTGTAACGGCCAAACGTCTATTGGAATATTCACCCAACAATTAATTTTCAATTGTAAGTGATAATGTCGAAACGTTTTCTAAGACTATTTGTTTGTGTGCGCAATGTGATTATTGTCTCAGTTTCCAAATTGTTGTTGAATATTCGGCAGATAAAATGATTCCATCCTGCGCCACATGGTATTACGGTGCGTTTATGAATTATGATATTACGGCGCGTTTATGACATCACTCGTAAAAATTCACTGCACTTGTTAACTCCTTAGTGATTTGTGTACGTACTCTGTAGATTCATTAATTAAACCTAGAATCAAAGCTGGAATTCCGTCGCCAGGGGGTGGTTCTCCCAAAGTAGATGTACGCGTGTGCTGTAAAATATATCAAGGCATCGCTAATGACAAAAAGAGAAGTCATAAAATAACTAGTGACAAAAATAATCTCCATTAAATTTGTTTACTATACGTATGATTGCATCTCCTTATTGTCAATCTATTAAAATAATTATCGTAATTAATAGCTGACCTTACGCAAACTGCGCGGAAAAAAATCAGCTATACCTTAACATAAGTGAATTACTCAACGAAAAACTCGTGCACTCACGAGACTAGCTTGTTACGGCTATAGCTTTTTACTTTGATAAGCCAGCGTGATAAATTAATTTATCTGCCTCCCCTAAAAATAGCCGTAATAAGAGAGTGTAGGTTTCACATTTAATGGTCGTTATGAGTATGAACTATTGAGTAAGTACACATTTTATGTGCCTGATGCAGGGTCGCCGTTGAACACCACAACGTTGGTTTTCCAGTGTTCGCACTATAAGGTTCACGGGATTATCGTGAAATGTCAACTCTTACAATTAACGTCTTCTCTGCACATTTGCAAAAAGTAAAGTGAGGCGTTTCCTCAAAACAGACAAAAAAAAACCAAAAGCATTCTAATTTGCGATTACATCCCGTTTTAAAATTCTGTGAACCGTGCTAAACGGTGCTGCTGGCTCGGAGGGCGCATAAACATATGCGAACTAACCATCAGGCATTTTCCGCTCCTTTAATATTGTGGACTTAAATTGAACAAGAATTTTGAGTTAGCAGAATGATTTTTGAAAAAGTGAAAGAAAGAATGAAAAAATATTTTGCGAAAGAAATGAGGACTTCACTTTGAACTTCGCAGAAAGTTTGCCGATTCAAATCACGCTGCCACACCAGATGGCTGTCATTTGTTCACCAACCGGAAGTATCTGGGATTCTGAGATCTAAATTTTCGGTTTACATATTTATTTTTGCAGTACGTTTGAACAACTTCAAAGGAAACAAAATTCCTAATAAAATCATACTACGCATATGATCGCTTGGTTAAGCACACTCACACAGTAAGCGAACGGGCGCCGGGCGTTCAGTTGGTCGCTCGGACTCTCTCCTGAAAGTAATTCCCACAAATCGATTTCCTTCCGGTTTTCTTCTTTCCCTGATTAAGTAGATTTGCACCCTTTTCAAAGAAGGTTGACCTATTTTCGTGCAATTGCGTCGTTACAAAAACAGCGACAAAACACTTCAGCCACGCCACGCGAGCCATTGCACTACACCATTATAACTTTAGTACTGCAATATGTTACATATGTGCGTCTTCGCCATCTAATGAGATTTATATATTTTCATTCGACTGATTCCTCGATTTCGTGATTAGCGTAAAGATGATTTTTGAAGCTCTGGATGACACTTTTATTCTACACATGTATCACTTACACAGCGACGTCGCAACCGCATGGCGATGGCTGTAGCTGTCCTAGTGTAGGACAGTGGCTCGTGTGGCGTCGCGTACAGAGTAGCTTAAATGTTTCGTCAATGTTTTTAATCGTCGCAATTGCGCAAGGAAAACGGTTTGACCTTTTTTAAAAATGTCAAGAACTCTGTAAAGGGTGCGACCTGCTTATTCAGGTAAAGAATAAAAACGGAGAGGAAATCGAATTGTGCACTTTGGAATTATATTCATGAGTGACCAAACGAACGACCGTTACCCATTCAAGTAATATTTCTGTACATGTAGTAGGTGCTCAACCGAGCGACCATACGGTGGGTAGTTAGGAAACTGTTGCCACTGTGCGCTTTCTTGGATTTTTTAAATAATTGAATGGGCCATTCAGACAGATGGACGAATGGGGGTGATAATCAAACAGATAAACTGATAATCAAACAGATAATCGAACAGATAAGTGATAACCAAACAGATAACCAAGTACCGAAAGGGAAGTCGAGCTTTCCGGAGCGCGGCCTGCGCAAATATCGGCATGTGCACGTAGGGTTGGAGCGTGTACCTTCTGGTCCATTTTTGAAACGGCATTTTAGGAAATGAAAATTGCACCTTAATATTGTACAGATAGATGACCGATCGGTGCTCACTGCTCAGCGAAGGTCTAACTTATTAAAAACGCAAAAAAATCATGTTTGTTTGTTATGGAAGAGTACCGGACCCCGGTGACTTTGAATGAGGTACGTAGGCGCAACGGTGACGCCATACGGTCACCTGGCAATACAAAGCATATTAGTGCACTACGGGTACCTATCTGTTCTGCTCGTCTAATTTATCTGAGTAATTATCCGGGGTTATCCTGTTATTCAGGGAGGCGCACGTGTACGTTCTGTGCAGTCAGTTTCTTAAAATTTTGTGCCTCATACACTGATTATTAATCTGAATGAATGTATGTGCATGCACAGAGCTGAAGCATTCTCACTTTTGTTTAGTCTCACGAAATTTACTGAATTATGAGACACAATTTTTTAACATCGCAAATAATATTATAAAGCAAAACTAAACAGCATTTATAGTTTAAATGCTTTTCATTTTGTTTTTATGTATAATATTGACTGTGATGATTTTAAACCCTCACAACGTGGAACGGTTGCCGTTAAACACAGCGCATTCCCCCGCTGTGTTTCGGTGCTAAGACGCTGTAATAAGAGCATTCTCGCTTTCTGTAAGGCTGTGTATCAGCTACGCCTCGCTTGCACCCCTGACATGGTGAGTCAAAAAATTCGCCTGTAGCCAGGTTAGTCCATAAATATTTCCGGGCATTTATTTTGATTTGTATCCACAATATCCCACCGTATCTGACAGTATTCTCTGTGTATCTGTATCCTTCATATATGTATTCTTTAAACTTAAAACTTTTTTTTAATCACTGCCGTATCTCAACGTTCCTCTGCAGTGCCCATTATACATCCCGAATGTATCCTACTAAGGAAGTTAAAGGAACCAAAGCGAAACTTGAAAGATGCTCGACGGATACATTAATAATACGTTAAAGTACACTGGGATATTGCGGTTACTGATAAACCCAAAGCAGAATACATGAAGGATACGTAGAGGATACTGTGGGCCTTCGAAGGTGGTGCGAATGCAAGTATAATATACTTTGTTTATTGCGAATATCGTTAAAGTGGACATTCCTTTTCACTAGCGTATCCTAGAGTAACCTCACAGTATGCCTCGCGTATTCTCCATATATCATGTTAATTTGCTCAGGCTCTTCGGCTTTCTTATAATTATTTTCTTATGTTTTCATAAGATTTTAGTGGAATACATGTCGGCAAGAAAAAGGAAGTCAGAGAAAACTGCTGCGATAGTAACTGATGCGCGGTATTGTCAGGTTTTCTCAGCAGATTTCTTTTCTCTTCGATTTCTAGCACCCAGAATATGGGTCTCTGTAAGTCTGTATTCATTATGACCTATTAAAATATCAGAAAGAACCTTGAGAATATCTTTCAGTAGGTACAAGAAATTGTGGAACTATGGTTAGCAGTAGCACAGCAGCGCTTGCTGAAAGCGAGAGTGAAGACGGAGACGGCCGTTGCGCATTCACTTCTAAGTCCCTACTGGCTACTGGTATAGTAAGTTCTTTCAGTTTTCTGAAACAAGACTGCATGGATGGAGTGCGTTGCGATCCAGAACCGGTTGCCATAGTGTTAGAAATCTGAGAGCTGTTTTTTTTATTAGAAAGTCACTGTATTCGGGGAATGCTGTTACTATTTTCCGTTTTTGGTAGATCTAGTGGAATGTCCGAATCACTACCGAGTACCGCAGAAAAAACATTTGCGATTACAGAATTTGCATGTTTCTATAATCAGACCGTTTAGAAAGGGAAACTAATAATTTGTGAAGAAAATGCTTTGACCTTTGTGACCTTTATATAACTTTAGTGCCAGATTTTGAACTGATTTTAATTTGATGTTCAAATTTGCAACTTTAAATATTCCAGTCTTATCTGCAGGAGATTGTGTTGAAACTGCGGAACGAGAGTCACACGTACGCGCCAACTAAGAAGTGAACCAGAGCCAGTACCTGGGTGGTGCAGAAGATCCTGTTGGAAGCCAACCAGGAGCCGACATGTGGGAGATACGCTTTGTCAATGAAGTGCATCATGATAAACCGCAAGTTCAGCAGGTGCCACAGCTAAAGGCCATCCTGCGTCGTTGCCCGAAATCCTGGCACGGATGTGCAGTAAATTCTGGAAGTGGTCACAGCCCTTTAGAGTTTCAAGGCGGGAATCAAACCGACGGCCCTTCAATGCCCAACGAGAATGAGGAAGCAGCGACTCCGGAAGCACAAGTTGTGGAGGACATCGATTTCACCGAGATTGAGGCTCTTGCCTTCGGTGAACTGGAAACCAAGAACGGTAAGGTAATCAGTGCGCCCAGCTTATGTAATCGTAATAAATTACGTAACATGAAAAACGTATTGTATACAGTAACGCGATGCAGAAAAATACGACATGTGTATTGTAAAAAAATTTGGGGTTCGAAGAAACTTGACTTTTTAAGGTAATTTTCACTGAAGTTTCGCTGTTTTTGGAACAGTATCCTTCTGTTTCAAGGTAACCGATAATAGACTACCGCGATGAAGCCATAAAAATTTATGTTTGAGACGTAATGCCTCAGAAACTTGTCTTGGAACTGCAGTTTTTTTGTAAAATCGACCAGATTCTTAGTATGTTTGATTGTGACTACTGAATAAATCTTTATGACATAAACTGAGCCAGCTTAATAACTTGTAAAAATTCAAAGCAATTTCTACAGCAGGTTAGTTCGCCATCTTTTGGGTTTCCGGGTTCTCGGTGCGCATCCCACCCAAAGGAGTTATATATCATCGAAAATTTCTTTTTGCAACTTTCAACGTTTATCACTGGAAGCTGCTTACGCAAGACGTTTCTATAAGTGCTCAGCTCGCAAGCGTATTTAACTAAATTTGTTTTAAATTACGCATTTGCTGAATAAAATTTGTTAGCATATTCGCTGATAAAAATTATTTTTGCTTATCAATAACGAAATTTTAAAAATTTGTCAATTCGGCAGCAGTGGCACGGGCCAATGCAAGTGGGCTTGAAATTCATCGGTGCACGGCAGCGGCGAGAATGTACGGCCCACTGCTGGGTGCCTGTGCGGCACACAGCATAAGAAACCATACGAAACCATTAGAAAACAAAACATAAAAAACACAAGAAACTGAAAAAATTTATACGAAATCTAAAAAAAATGGAGAAATCTTAGAAGCCAAAGAAAAATAAAAGAACAAAAACAAAGTAACAAAAAATTTGAAAATATTAAAAAACATCTTGAAGCCAAGTCGCACAAGCGCTTTGAATTCCTTTTTGGCCAAATGTCCGCGGGCAGTTGGGTAATGGCAATATATCGCAAAGAGAAAACGTCTCACACCTAAACCGAAACCTCCCAGCGTCCAGCCAAAAGTCGGGCGTCATATTTGAGTGCGGCGCAATGTTACATTCCCGTTGTTCGGGTGCGCCTGTAGTCACAGACTCGCAACAGTGTCCCTTTTGTCCCACCGGACAGTTTTGCCGTGTCCTCCTACCCCTACCACCAAAATGGTGACTTTTGGCTGGAATGGTTACCCGAAGGGCCTATCCGGAAAGCTGAATTTCAGGTCATTTGGTGACTACAAGCGTTACCAAAGCTATTCTGTATGCCTTTTGGCTCCCACGGATTGAAAATACATAGACTGAGTGTAAACCGAAAAGTGTTTTCAGGCCTCTGCTATAAAAACATTTGTTGTAGCAGGGCAACCATTGGAATCGACACAGATTGATACAAACTCGTCAAACAACAAAGAAATGGAAGAAGAAAAAAGCCGATCGATCTGCGAACTGCGCAAGGCTGGCAGCACGAATTTGCAAATCGCGGAACGTCTGGGCATCAGTTTTCACACAGTAAATTATACCGTCCGGAAAAATGAAGTATTCTTTCGACCCCAATTAACCGAGGAGAAAAACGAAGAGATTATAAAGCGAGCGCAAGATGGAAAATGCAGCGAAGCGCAAACTGCACGGCAGTTTAAGGTTGGCAGGTCGACCGTAAACCTAATGCGACGAATGATCGGCCTTACTGAAGAACAAAAGAAAGCAATCAAGCAGTTGTTCCATCGTGGGTACTCAAGAGCGGATATTGCCCGTGAGGTTAACGTAACGGTTGATGCCGCAACCGCTGTAATTCGTTACGCCGGATTTTGTTTCAATGCACCAGATAAACCTCCTGTCAGTCAGAAACAGATAGAAGGGATACTTAACTGCTTTGAAGAAGGTCATAGTGGGTCGTACATCTCTAAAAAGTTCGGCGTATCCCGAAATTCTTTAAGAAGGTTGCTGCTGCAGAATGGGAAAAAGTTAAGGGACCGCCCTAGAAAAACTTACCGACGGGCGCGAAAAATTGCCCATAAAATGTCTGCAGAAGCACTGTCGGAAGATACGATATCGGAACAGCATAAGATGGGCAAGACGCGCATGCAAGCAGCGATAAACGCCGGCGAAGGAGGAAACACACCGGATGAGCGTCCGTTAAGTAGTGCAAGAGACGATGATGTAGAGCCCGCTTTTAGACTGGTCGATCCGGAAGAAGAGCGGGTTCTTCAAACACCGCCACATAAGGAGGATGGCGGCAATAACAGCGCAAGTGTGTGCCGTAGATTGTCTCGTCGGAAGACAGGACAGTGTGACCAATTAGGCAGTACAACTACACACCTTCTAGACTGTTGTTCTGATTGTTATTACACCCTTACGTGTGATCGCGACGAAGCATCCACATCTAATATTCCTGTATCTGCCGATCAGAATGAAAAAGCAGAAGTTGAAGGTGTTTCGGAACACGTCTCGCAAGAACTGGTGGACCGGGATATCGAGAGCAACCAGTCTGGTATGTGGATTAGCTAAATAGTCTCATAACACTGACAATGAACTGCATGGAGATCGAATTCTTTCTACAGAAGTGCAGTAATGATTGTATGCCGTTGATATTTTCCCCGTTAAAAATTCTTATGTTAACGTTTACAACGGGCAGACTAATTGCTTAAATCGCTAACTGTTTTAATATGTAACTTGAGTCGTTAACTGATATCGGAAATCACGCTTATGGATTTACTATGATTATTAACAGCCGGGCAATACGGGTCGAATGTCTGATTATCCATATATACGTACTACAGTACATGATGATGTCTGCTGACTGCTCTATTGCTAAGTCTTGTTAATCGAAGAGAATCTTTATTCATCTTTTAGCACAGTCAACCTGTTGCGAAAAAATGTTTTATGGACACAGCCTTCCAGAGTCCTAACTGCTACGTCATGATTTCATCTCTGCTTGTTGTAGCTGTCGAAAAGGAGGATGCGCTGCAACAGGGTGAAGCCGAGAGGCAGACAACCAGCCGCGATATTTCGATGACCTTGGAATATTCGGCATCCCGGCCGTGCTACCAGGGTGTATCTGTTACCCCGGACTTAGTTACTCTTAGTTCCGGACTTCAGCGGCGCCTGACCCCCACAAAGAGCTGTTCAGTGGGTACTATGAGCGGGCAGCACACCGCTGCTGCACAGTCTGCACTCGACCAAAACATCACGGATGTAATGGAGAGCCAGCGGCCGTTGTCACCAGCTAACACTAACGCTGGGTGTAATATCAGTGCTGAACATCAACATAATCAAATTAACGGTGACCCGCCGATCGTCCTATTAGTAATGGTTAAAGCGACTTCGACTTTGTCAAACCCTAATACTGAAGCGCGAGAGAAGGGTGCAAACAGCCGAAACAGGGAAAGCAGTCCAGAACACGAACATGACAAAATGGACTGTGAGCCGCCCATGACACTAACTGCTGATACGCCCACGATTTCGCCAGACCCGATCATTCAAGCACAGGAGAAGGTTACAAACAAGGAATGCGGCCAGTATCAGGAAATGCAATCCATCGTCCTAAAACTACGTCAACAGGGATGTTCGTATGATGCGGTGAAAAAGCATCTCGATGTTATTTTCTTGACCGACGCCGCATCCTTTCAAGATGACAGTAGAGTTGACAAAGGGCTGGACAAGAACCACGACAAAACAATGCCAACTGGCCAGCTCAGCAATTTAAATGTAAGATAACTCAGTGTGCCAAATTAATTCTTTATTTGTTTCTAAGATTGATTGATGCTGTTACACAGGAAAGTGAGGATACTAGTTACATCAACGCTCAAAAGCGATGTATTGCTTACCCATTTTGACGGGAAAACGTTTCTTCATTTTGCAAACTATAGATCTGCCAAGAAAAGCACCTGCTATGGCGAAATCATGAGCTGCACATTTCTTAAGCCATATAAAACAGTGAGCATAAATTTTACCTTTATTTTGAAAATGCCTTCTTACCTAGGCTCCACCTTCGACTGCAGTTGGTGCGTCTAACTCGCACCAACTGACGTCGCCTACACCACAGGGCGCCAAAGGGTTAAGCCATATGAAATTGTGATAATAAATTTTATCTATTTATTGCTTTCTTACCTAGGCTCCTCCTTCGATTGCAGTTGACGCGCAGGAGACAAGCGATACACCGGCAGTCACAATCCGGCAGTTCGGAGACAAATATGTTGCTGATGCGAGGCAGCAGCGGTCAGATACAGTAGCAGATCCAAATATTTCGGCCCCGATCTTTCCAAATACTGCAGAGCCGTCGCGACCTGAGTGGATGTCAAGTAACGGCAACCAACCGCCGGAGGATTCATCAGAGCGCACTCCGGAAGTCGGTGTCGATATGAAAACCGATACAAGACGACTTTCCACCGGCGAAATCCCAGTATTTCCAAATTCCAGTGCTTCGCTAGGTTCGTGCATGGGAACCGCCTCCGAGACGTTACTTCCGCCAGAAAATTCGACCACGGGCAGAGTTAGTGTAAGATATGAGTGTCACATTTGTCGGTTATTCTGTGAGGAAGCAGACGCATTCCTGTTACATTTGGCAGACAATGAGCACGCGAAGCTTTTCGCCAGGGGGGATTTTTTATACTGTACAGGATGTAAGTTCAAATCCCGGAAACCGGAAACGATGGGCAAGCATATTGTTAAGTATCAATCGCAAAGTACACTGGAAACCAGTATTGTGCATTCTGTTCAAGCTATCCATTGACTTTTTTTGAAAACTATACTGAGTGTTCACCGTCAAGTTTTTGGTTACTATAACAGCTGTAACGTATTAGTCACGGCTTCCGCTAAGCAGTGGCACTACTCACTCCACTGATATTAAGGATTTGAGGCTCAGGAATAATGCTTCCCGTTTATCCGGTTTTTCACACCTAACAATAATTGTTACGGTGGCATCCAACGGTGTCGATGCAAGATCTGTACTGTAGTTTGCCGATTTTGCCGATTACGCTGTGCAATTCTCTTCTGATTTGGTTAGCAAGTTTTATTAGCAGTTTTTATTTGTAAGTTTATTAGCAAGTGTTTACAGCTTGAACTTTGAGAAACGGCGGATTGCTGTGGTTGTCACACACATAACTATGTATTTTCAGTTCTCTGTGTGGTTTTCGAATAAATACGCTAGTATTACAACACAAAATCTAAATTTTCAGTAAGTTGAAGTACTTCCGTACCATCTCCTGGCAGCATTATGCGCCTTTTTGTCACAAAAAACGAAATTGTGTTACAAAAAAGGATCCGAGATTGTACAAGTCTATCGGGCGGATGCAGTGCTCCGAATTCCTTAAAAGCTCCGTTGACTACTGAATGACGCATTGGAACTGTTCAACTATTGCGCACTTTTTTTGGAACTTCACTCGAACTGTCAAGCTTTATCACGATTCATTAAGTTTGTACAGCGTACACGATTTGCTGGCATAATGTGACATTCGGATAAAAGTCTTCTAACCCGCACCTACAGAAGGTATATCGGAGTCACAGTTGGACAGACCGAAAATCGGACTTATCCAAAGCCAGATAAACACATAGAAAATAAAACGAAAATGGAACAAGAAACAGTGTTGGTGATTTCGTAGATCACTGATAAGAACATAAAGATGCAATAATACAACAATAATAAATTGAAGATGATTGATACTAAACGAGACCCTTACGGTCGATACGATGAACGATCCGTCGTACGTTTCGTTGTGTTTCGTAATACAACAATAAGAAACTGGAGATGATTGATACTAAACGAGACCCTTACGGTCGATACGATGAACGATCCGTCGTACGTTTCGTTGTGTTTCGTAATACAACAATAAGAAACTGGAGATGATTGATACTAAACGAGACCCTTACGGTCGATACGACGAACGATCCGTCGTACGTTTCGTTATTTTTAGCCTTTGATAGGGCGTGACTTCCACTGAAAATTGTTTTGTTTTCTGATAACAGATGAACAATTAAATGCCTCACTGCATTGCTTACTCGTGCACTGGATATTATCGATAATTTTCACTTGTTTTGTAGTTGTGTCCAGCTATTCTACCCGTATAATTAAGCGCGACATTCAACTAGCTGCTCACTCGGTTGCTCCTCGGATACCGGCATAACAGGCTCGACAGGCGGACGAAAGAGTTTTTTAAGCAATTATTCCAATATTCAGTTTCAAATACAACGCGAAAATGCTATAATTTATGTGTGATGGGCACAATTCCCGACTAGGATAGCATTGAGGAAGTGTTTTTCGTAATAATTTCTGTTGTCACGCTTAGCTAAACGACTAAGATAAACGTAGAACTTCTTTATTGATTTCAACATGTACAAGCAAAATGCCGTTTTACACTTAAAACTCAAATATTGAATAGCTAAAACAAATGGAACAACTCTTCCAGTTCTTTTGAACAACCAACAGTACCCAGAACAGATGCGGCATTTCCGCGCTGAATTTCGACGCTTATACGCTGCCACAAAAACTCGGTAGCGCGCGCTTCTCCTGTTTGATCTTTTATGCGTCGGCCGACTTCACTGATGAACTGACGGGTAGAACACTTTTGGAATTCCGAATAAAAACTTTTGCTGCGCTTTGAGCCCTGAAAACAAAAGCACGGATGTGGGTCGCAGTTTAATTTAGAGAAATCCGGCATTTTCGCTTGTTGCGCAATACCCAATAACAGTACAAGGGGCAGCCGAAGAAGATGGTAATTTCTCCGTAAATTGTAATATCATTGCTGGAAATGGCATAACCCCGGCTTCTACATGTTATAAAGTGCGAAAACCACGTGCTTATGGATCTTACTGCACCTTTTAGCGGATTGATGTTTTAATGTGACACGTCAGCTGTTCGTTTCGGAAAGGGTTACAGTATTTTTCCGATCTGTTGTATCTTTTTGCAGAATGCAAGTATATTCGAAATTTTTGAGTGATTAAGTGCATCGAGTTAGTTGACCAGGAGTTCAAGCGCTATCCGGCCTCAGCAGTAAAACTGGTAAGGAGAAATAGATCCGCAGTTTTTCTGCCGCGTTCGAATATGGATTTTGCTTGGAAGAAGCCGGTAGAGTTAGCGCAGTCCTGTTTAGTAATAGCAGTTCTTTTTTATCAGATATTGTTTTACTATGAGCGAGTTTCGTCTGTGTAAATGTCACGAATATTCAGTAAAGATCTGTGCAATATATTTATCCTATTACTTCATTTTCTGTACAATATGCGACGATATACAGAGTAAGGTGGATTGGTACTCAAGTTTATTGATCTACAGTACTATAATATACTCATATACGGCATAACGTGCTTGCAAGCTACAAAACCTTTTTTTTCAGTGTGAGGGTTGCAGTAATGTGCAGCATCATTACCCAAAAACTTTTGTACTTATTGTGCAGTTTGTAATTGAGTATCTTATTGCTTCCGCTGCCGTGCGGGTATCTCATGTCGCTTTGAAAGCTTTAAATTTTTGTGCAGTGCAGCGAAACACCGCTTTCCCAATTTCGTCGCCGGTGTCTTGCTATCAGTCATTTTGTCGCCGGTCTGATTTGACTGATAATGCATTTTACAGTAGTACGTATTCATTTTCGTGATATACGTATTTAATAATATGCTGAGTCACAGTTCTAATTTCTATATCCTTATTTCGTTTTCATATTACTAATTTTATGAATTATTGTAAAAAAATGTTTAATGACTTCAGTATTTGCAGCGGCAACATAAAGACCCGACGGTCAGCAAACTTTCGTGGCCCTGCCTGAACTGTGCAGTAAATCTTGGAGCACCTACTCTAGGCATTGGCTTTATTATACTGAAAGTTATACCCAAAGAGAAGTCTTATCTCGTCCAGGTGGCAGGCGGAGGAAGAAGAAAAAAATATCAAGCAGCTAGTTCACTAAGGAAGGCACAGTCCTGCTCAAATTGCTGAACACGAACATGAGGACCGCGAAACAAACTCTGCACACGGCCGACGTCACTGAAGAACAAAAAGAAACCATCTTCCAACTGCTCAACCGCGGCTGCTCAAAAGACGATATTCTACGCGAAGTTAATGTTAGTCGTCTTGCCTTAGGCCGTTTAATTCAGGAAGCAAAGAAACACAATGAGATTTCTGCACTGAGCTCAAAACAAACAGAAGAAATACTTTACTGCTTCGAAGAAGGCCACAGTAGCCCGTACATACAGGAGAAGTTCGGCCTGTCTGCCGCCGCAATTTCCGCTTTGCTACGGCAGAATGGGAAAACCTTTGCGGGACGCTTACGACAACAGTGCCAGGAGAAGCGCGCTGCTGCTTTGAAACTTCGTGCGGAAGGATGGACATGGGATGCCATAGCGAAACAACTTAAAGTGAGTTATGCGACAGTATGGCGAATGGTACATGCCGGCCAGAAATCGGCCGCATCCGCTGCGGAAGAGCCGCTGGACCACTCGGAAGCTGCCCGGCTGAATACGGATAGTGTAGTAGAGGATTCGATGGCTGAAGTAGCGCAAGTTCCTCAGACCAGAACGGACAGCAGCTGCCCAGGTTCAGGTTCGGCTCGATTAAAGACCACGCAGCTCGACGATCCAATCGCTAAAAGGAGACTTTCAAATGGTGGCGGTTTCGAGCATACCGCTGCGCAACACTACAACGAGAGAACCGCAGCGAGCGATCATGTCACTGCCAGTAGCCTCGAAAGTGGATTATTCGCAGAAGTTCCGAGGGACATTTCAGAAGAAGTCATGAAGCTGGACGGAAATCATGATGGTATGTGTGTAATCGAGGTGCTGTAGTTTTTCCCAATAAATCTTATCTCTTTAACTTGCACATTAAAATGCCACATACAGTTAATCTTTAAAATATAAAGTGCCTTTAACTTACAGTTAATCTTAAAACACCCAGTAACTTATTTTCACCAGGATTCTTTGGGGCTGTTGTGCACGA